AACATCATTGAGCATTGAGCAATGGCAGGGTCTTTAGCACGACTGTTGACCCTGTACCTAGATAATCTAGCCTTTCCTCCCCTGTTCTGACCTGCCCCTTCACCCCTGACGCCTATGGTGCGAGTAACAAATTGAGAACGTTCTCGATTAACGCGTTGCATTGACTTTGCTCCCTGGGTCGAACCCACCAGGACCCTCGACGTCAATGCTCGCCTTCCACAGGCCAATTGCGCATCCAGGGTCAAACAGAGGGGGTACCCCTTATTCACGGAAATTTGTGGCTGCTTCCAGACACCCCTGTCCGTACTACATCAAATGGCGAGCAACAGCGAAAATGACTGGTCGTGAATATCAGGCGGTTAGTACATGGCATGAATGATGAGTGGTTGGACAAGAGGGGAAACCATAGACATGTTAGGAGTTGGAAAAAATGAATCATTTGCTCGCATTGCACTCCGGTCGCCAAACTGTCCTATCGAAGTATTCCTGCCGGTATTTATGATTCCCCAGGTCCCAAAATCAAGACAAAATGACGAAAGGCAAAATACTGGCCAAGTAGACAAAAAAAGCATCGATAGATCTAGAGGAGAGATTCAACGGGGAGGGAGGAAGCAACACGATCCGGGCTAAACCGAGTCCTTATGGTGGTGAAAGGGTCTCATGGGGTCTGCGATCATCTATAAAGGTCGGGAGTCGGGACCAGGACACCGGTATCTGTAGCTTCCCATCATTCCATCCTCGCCCCGTCGACATGTGAACAAATCCAGGAGAAGCTCGACCACTTGAAAATCGCTTGAAACTCATCAATTCCACTTCTTGGGCAGCCTATATGCCCGTGTCTTCTCCACTGGGAGCGACCCTTTCAATCTTCGGGGTGGAATCTCAATAGCCTGAGGGGGGGAGGTGTTTAAAAAAAATGAACAATTATAACCATTCCGTATTACAAGATCATGCACTTGTGCTTTTTATTCCCGCGGACTGGTTGGGGGGGTTCCAAAGCGGCGACAATAGCCTGTAGCAATCACACATTAACGTCTTGCGGTCTCTTGGACATGGCACAGGGAAGAAGCTTACCTCGTCGAACACATCCTTCAACTTATACTGGGTCAAAGCACTGCACTCGACGTACTTGACAGCGCCGAGCTCCTTGGCCATCCGCTCACCGTCCTCTCTCCTTACTGGAGACATCTTCTGCTTGGCAAGCTTCTCTCTGACGCTAGGATCATCTCGGAGATCGACCTGGGTACCAACAATAAGGCACGGAACGCCGGGGCAGTGGTGGTGAACCTCGGGGAACCACTTCTCGCGAACGTTTTCGAAGGAAGCTGGGGAGGTGACACTGAAGCAGACGAGGAAGACATCGGTCTGGGGATACGAAAGGGGTCGCAGTCTGTCGTAATCTTCCTGACCAGCAGTATCAAATAGACCCAAGGTGTAAGGCTCGTCGCCGATCCTAGAGTCGGGACCTGGGTTAGCCAACTATTCCACTCGGGGCTTCCCATCATCTGGCTGCATCATTCAAGGACAGTCGGAATAGTCCATCTCGCTCAACATTTCGCACACCGTCGGTGACCAAGTCGTGGGGAGTGAATGTCCGGAAACGAGTAGGCAAGTTGGGGGCGGAAATTGACAGGGGCGCAAGAGATAAGACATACATGACAGTAACAGCATAATTGTCGAAGACGGTGGGAACGTATTCGGACGGGAACTTGTTGGTTGTATAGCTGATGAGCAGGCACGTCTTACCGACAGCACCGTCACCGACGACAACACACCTAAACCATAGTTAGCAAATAAAGTTCGAATGATGCGACAGAGACGCAAAACGAGGCAGTAAAAGCTGCATATCAGCACTGCAGCTGCACATCAGGTGGGATGGCAAGATTGTTGTTCAATTAGACAGCTTCGCTCCCTCGTAAAAGTCCAAATACGCATTTGCGCTTCATGCCTGGTCGGTGCGACGCATAATCAAGGGGAGCAAGGTAGAGAGGGGGTCGAAGGGGGGATATGGCGAAGCCAAGGCCAGCACATACTTGATAGTTGCGACCACCGCCATTTTGTGTTCTGGTTATATGGAGCGAGGAAACGCTTAAAACGCCAGCGGAAGCTGTGCTGCGAAAAAGGGTCGAGGAGAGTGCCGTCGATCAGTTGATGGGGCTCGCAGAGTTACGGATGGCTGGTGAGCGTGGGAAGGCTTGGAGGAGACCAGAGGTGAGCTGGCGAGGTTCGAGGTGGAGGGCCCGTAGCTTGGCAGCAAATACGAGAATCACGCTCCAGGCAGTAAGAATTCCGTATGCAGAGAAGCTCTAGCGGGTGGGAGTTATTGGATGAGCCAGTCCAGGACAGTCGGGGAGGATGAATCGGGGAGGATGGCGGGAGACAGGAGAGGATGTGGGAGATGACGACGGTTTGGCTTGGGGCTAGAAAAGATGATGGGGGGAGGATAGTTTGGTAGGAAGCCGTTGGCGGCGAGTAAGTATGGAAATGATCTGGCTGCCAGGCTGGGTAATGGCTCCGTGCTATCAGGTAAGCTGGGAGGATAAATAAGGTAACCACTGGCTCATGCAGCGCTGATGGAGAGGCATAACCATGGATGGCGGGAGTGCCCACTGGCTGGCGGGCAGTTTCATTAGCAGCATGAAGCGCTGTCAGGCAACGCCAGCAGCCAGGCTGCAGTGAACCTAGACTGCCTCGAGGGGCCAGAGTTTCTCACACCCGCTAGCGGAGGGTGGTCCGGGCGTCAAGAACTGCCTGGGGGCTTTTTGGGCTTAGGCTGGGACTGGACGGGCTGGTTCTGGCGCTGGTTCTAACACGCCTTGGGCTGTCCGACACTTGTCCCTGCCGCCTGTGTCCCATTACATTGGCTGCCAAGTAGCAGTGGTGGGGGCTCTGGCTGGTCAGTCGCGTCGGGGAGCCTCCATCAAGCAAAACCTTTTATTACCGCCAGCGCAGTCTCAGAGCAGTGCAAAGCTCCATGTTAATATCATTTGCGTGCTACGACGCACCAGTACTAGTTTTGCCCTCGTAGCGCGGGAACCGGGTGGACCTCGACACTAGTGGGATGAATGGCAAAATGCCATGGCAGGCAGGCACCAAGCAGTCAATCACATCACGAGTGAGCAAGTGCTTGCACATGCGAAGGTGAACAACCACAGACACGCATATCCATCTACATCCAAAGAAAAGGGGGGGCCGGGCTGAGGCGGGGCACAGGGTGAGCATGGCAAACGACTGGACAGAGTCGTCTGTTGAGCAAGTGGAAGCACCTCCAGCATAAACGGGGAGGTATAATTATCCCACGAGATGGAGACGAGGCATAGGGCCACAGCAGTCGGTTGCAGAAGGTGAGGAGATCCAATGGATGGGTGGATGTGTGCTGTGAGCCGAGATGGTGTGCGAGTGCCCCGCGTGCTTTCTTCTAGGTCCGTTTCTCGAAGGCGAGTGTTTCTGCACTGATTGCCTATCTCACCTCACTGCCTCCCTGTCTCGGCGGGCACCCGGCACATCAACTGCCTACAACGGACTCTGCGTTGGCCGTCCTCAACGAACATTGTTGGCGCATCTCCGGCGGTCAATGTCCAGAGGCCAGCCCGGCGGTTTGCTGGTGAATGCGGCTGGCAGGCATCATCTGTGGGAGTTCCTTCTTCCCGCTCCGCTTGGGGCCAGCAGAACCCATTCATCCCCCCCTAAATGGTGCTAAATTGCCAGCCATACTCAGAGCAGGTAGCACCTGGAGTGAGCTAGCCAATGCAGCCTCACTCCAATTTCAGGCTGTGACGCATGAAAGAGCGTGCAAAGATACAGCCAACATGCATGAGCACTCTTATCACAACCGCTTGCACTCACGCTGGCTGGTCTCGATAGCCGCCATCCATTCGCAGCGTGTCTCAGCCCAGCAACCACCATTGGAACATTGGTCATTTGCTGCTCCCCTGCCCAAGGTTGCATCTAGAAGCCCATCCCCAACCCTCCCCAAAAGCCCGAGGATGCTGCCCAGCTCGGAGCCATCTCAACAGGTCTTTTGCCTAGGCTCACCTGTTCTTCTCCTGAATGAATTGAAAAATTGTCCAGGGCAGAGGCCCAGACCTGCAATTCCACGTGGCGCCCGACTCACGTGTTCATTCTGCAGGGTCGTCCCATCTGCTGGGAAACATCATCCCTGTTGATAACGGCTCGCAATCTATACTACCTGATACCTGCCCCTTTCAAGTGAAAGGGGCTCATTATTACCAAGGGACGTGCTCTCCTGCTCGTTCATGCGGTCCAACCCCTCGAGAATCATAAAGAGATGCGGTTTCCGTCTTTTTATTCCGAGTCAAAGCCCATCGCCTGCTATACTGTAGGTTTTCCAAGAGAAGATGTATCCGCCGAGTCGGAATGGAACCCTTTGGGAGGTGCTCCGCAATTCGTTCATGAGAGCCACCATGTCAATTCGTCCGCCGCGCAGCATCTTGAACTTCTAAAATAGTGACCGCCATCTCTCGCAGGGTTATCATGATCCTGCTGTTGTGTACAATTATCGGTCACACAAACCCGAGGAATCACTGGAATAATACGTAGACATATTTTTACTTCAACAACTTACCAACCGAGCGGTATGAACATCTTCCCACTTTTTAGGGATGCCTAGAAGACCCTGTCGAACCTAGGCTCGGTAGACTCGTCTTCACAGAGGACGTCTATTAGGAAGTTTTACGCTTCGTGGTGAACAGTATATTGAAGAAAGCAACAGGCAAATTATCTTCTTCGTTCGATATACCATAGATGCCCTCGCAGAGATGTGTAACCCGCCCACCAACAAGTGGATATCCGCTGTCCTCGGCCTCCGAATCTAGCAAATATATGCATCAAACCAAAAGGATGTCCCATCAACCTCCTCAACTCCTGAAGCAAGGAACAATGAGGCTTTGAGATCTGACTGAGCCGCCATCGCCTCAATTCAGCAGCTGCTCTGATGGATTGGAAGCCGCACCCTTGATTTCGATCAAACAAACATAATAATGGCGCTTCTCGCCTCACTCCTTCGGAGCGAAAAGCGACCCGTATTTCTTGAAATCCGTTCATCGGCCGGTCTCATTGTCACGACGGCTTCCTTTGCCACATTCACTGTATGACCTCCTTAAATTCTTATTATGGGTATCCCTAACCTTCGTACTTGAAAGGACGTCTTCTTATACGCGGTCATTGTCCCCGTGCTACCGTTTTCCTTGTCTAGCCGCGCCGGTGTCGCTGAAGATCAAGGTATGTCTCAAGTGGCATTTGGCGCAACCGTTATACCACAAGGCTAAGACATGCATGACATGACGAACAGTTCAGTACTGGATCTCGATATCCCTGGCTGTCTATGGAGCCGCCCTCCTTGCTTCATCCCGTACGTGCTATGAACCCTCCCACCACGTCGAGCAACTCCCAACTGACCTTTCATCTCGTGCCGCAGCCATCTGGGGGTATCTCGCGGACCGGATCCGCAACCGCAAGATTCCCATGCTGATCGGCCTGATATTCCTCACCGGTTCCACCGTGTTCCTCTGCTTGGCCACTAACATCGCCATGCTGCTGGTCGGGCGCGCGCTACAAGGCTGCTCTGCGGCCCTCACATGGACAGTTGGCCTCGCTCTCGTCGTGGATTCAGTGGATGCCAGTCAACTCGGAATGGCAACGGGCTGGGTCGGCATGGCCACCAGTTTGGGGGTGCTCCTCGCGCCTCTGTTGGGCGGTCTCGTCTACGAGCATGGTGGCTACTACTCCGTATTCGCCATGTGTTTCGGCATTCTTGCTGTAGACATCGCACTTCGAATAGCCATCATTGAGGTCAAGGAATCCAAGAGGTGGATAGACAAGACACCTGTGCAGAGTGCTACCGAGACGTCTGGTGCTATCGAGGATGTTGTTACTAAAACAGGAGATGACGCTGTCCAGCGCCTTGGTAAGGACAACACGATGACGGAGATGTCTGAGGAAGCTACTCCCACTCATAACCAACCACCGCCAGCCTCCAAACACAACCATGTCATCGGACCCCTGATCGGGTTGCTGCGCAAACCAAGACTCCTCGCTGCTCTATGGGGCACTCTGGTCCACGCCATCATCCAGACGTCGTTTGACAGTACACTCCCTCTCTTTGTCAAATCGACCTTTCACTGGGACTCGACTGGCGCAGGATTGGCCTTCCTCCCGTTGGTGGCTCCCTGCTTCATCAGCCCACTTATCGGTATCATGAACGACAAGTACGGGCCCAAGTGGCTCGCAACAAGCGGCTTCATCATCGCTACGCCGTTCCTGATTTGTCTCCGCTTCGTGTCCGAGGACAGTATCAATCACAAGATCATGATGTGCGGACTGCTGGTGGGTGTCGGGCTGGCCGTCGCCCTGGTATTTGGTCCGCTGATGGCGGAAATCTCCTGGTCGGCAGTCGACGGCATGGATCCGACGCAAGACGACATGTCAGCCGTGCCCTACGCACAGGCATACGGGCTGTACAACATGGCGTTCTCGGGCGGGTGTATGCTCGGGCCCATATTGGGCGGCCTGATCAGGGACAGAGCTGGATGGCCCACAGTCTGTTGGGTCCTAGGGTTGATCACGGCGGCATCGACAATCACACAAGCCCTCTGGATCGGAGGGCCTCTGAAACTGAAGCTGCCAGGGCGAGCTGGTGAGTCGTCGTAGTACCACGACAGGTAGACCTATGACGTAGTTCATGATACCCAATGCCAAGGCTATACCATCAAACAAATCGAGAGCGTCGTCTAAAGATTGCATGAAAACCATCCACATTACCTAAAATTGATAAGGGACGAGCCGGGTAATCATCGTCACAGTATGGAGATCTCGCCTTTCTTCGGCATGCAGGTACCACATCCCGTCCCCAGGCCAGCCCATGATCTACATGTGGCTGAAGATGCGTTAGTGGTCAATGCATAACAACAGGTGAGACATTCTCGAATCCAAGCCAATGGGCCAGAAACGCGGCGTGCCGCTAGACGGGCCCAAAACACACTCCCGACCTCACCTGCAGGGCGTCGTCGTCGGCACTTTGTTTGAGGCACCGTGTGTGATGCCTCTTCAGCTTAAGGCTGGCCCTCCCTCCACGCTTAAGCTGCGTACTACATATCACCGTGCAACCAACGACGTAGCAGGCTGCTGCCATGCCCCCCATTGGGTTCTCTCCTCGTCTGGAGTCTTCTCATTCTGGTTCTTCAAGGCTTCGGGCTCGGCAACGGCCCCACCACCTCGAAACTAGCTGAAAAGATGGTGGTATCATGATCCTGTCACTCACGCCTCGTCAATGCATTGCCGCTGCACGTCTGTCTGCCTATGGTAGGAGGAACATCAGATGGTTCCATAGACCGTTCTGCGCTGCATGTTTCTCTGCCGTTCACTCAGCCGCTATGCATCTCCTCTTCTCAACTAAGAAGACCGTAAACGCCGGATCGCCCATCCGGCTTCAGCTTCCCCGTCCGTCCATCAGTCTGGCGATCCCGCCCACTGATCTACGCCCTACAGCATCCTTGGCGCATCCCGCCTTCCCCTTATATCAAGCTTCATCTGCCCCATATCGCATGACAGAGGTTCTCTTTCCACGTGGAGCACACAGCCCACAAGTGCCGCACCATTCTTCAGCTCGCACCGCATTCCAAGAAGAGAAAGCTGGACGGCACTCATATGCATGATGATGGATAGATTGAGACATTTCAGCTTTTGGTATACAATGTAGTAGCTAGTAATTGTAGATGGTGGCTTGGCTACATGTATATAACCAGTCCAGTAACCCGCCCCGAATGTTCGCTTGTCCAGTCCATTAGACATCACTTACAAGACATCCAATCAGCCAGACCGTGAAGAACCCATCCATCATCACCCACTTAGAACATTAGACAAAATGCTCGCCAAGTCGTTCATCGTCGCCCTTCTGGGCCTCACCTCCGTCTCGGCCGCTTGCACCGGACCTGCTGTCAACTCTGCCACCGTCTCCCTCATCACGGAATTTGAAGGCTTCAGGGCCAATATCTGTATGCACCCTACCAAAATTACGTCCCATTTTCTATTAAGGACTCACCAACTGACCTATTCCATGTCCTTAAAGACAAGGACCCTGCCGGTTATCCCACCGTGGGCTACGGCCATCTCTGCTCTGACTCCAAGTGCTCTGACGTCCCCTACCCGATCCCCCTCTCCCAGGCCAACGGCCGAAAGCTCCTCCAGTCCGATCTTGCTGTACGTATCCCCCACCACAGACATCCACATCTCGCAGTGTGAAAGCCGGGCAGCGAATACTGACTCTCAGAACAAAAAAGCCCGCCCAGAACTGCATCACCCTCGCCACCACCTCCAACGTCGTCCTCAACGCCAACCAGTACGGCGCCTTCGTCAGCTGGACCTTCAACATGGGCTGCGGCGCCGTCAAGTCATCCACCCTCCTCAAGCGCCTCAACGCCGCCGAGAACCCCAACACCGTCGCCGCCGAGGAGCTCCCCAAGTGGAAGAACGCCGGGGGCGTCGAGCTCCCGGGTCTCGTCCGCCGCCGCGCCGCAGAGGTGGCGCTTGCGAAGACTGCTACTTCTGACAAAGCCCTGCCTGCCTGCTCCTAAAAGAAGTGCGAGTGGGAAAACTAGACGTTAGAGCCATTTGAAGAATATTGATAGAAAGATTATGAATTGCTCTTCCAATAAAACAGTGAAGAAGAATGATGAAGTGGTTCATCTATCGGCTTTATCCAATGCAAATTCGTGAAATGGGATCAAACAGAAGGCTATCTTCGAATATTTGTGCTCACGATGGTGAAATATATGCTGCTCCGCAAGGGTATCGTAAAATTCAAGAGGAGGTGGGTAGCTAATCATCCACATCCCAGCTTCTTAAGGTGTCATTGATGTTATTAAATAACGGCTGGACCTTGCTTCGACTTGGGTCGAAGCATTCGGATCTGGCCTCCACATCATAGCGAGATAGTAGGTGAGACCAGGCGCCGAACTTCCAGGATGCAGAATGCCGAACGAGATAAAGCTCAGACAACCCGTTCATAAAGTCCGGTTTGTGTATCGTACAAGGGTGCAATCGATCTCGCATGTGCCCCTCACGATTTCCACTTGATGTTGTCGAAAGAAACGACATCTCCGTCGTAGGCGATAGTCTCGGGCTTCACTTCAATCTTCTCCTGCAAATTGTAGCCCGCCATATCCATGATCGCTCTGCGCACACCCGGAATTCCACCGCCGGTCCCAAGACCCTTGGGCGAGGACCTCATACCAGCAGAAACGGCGTACACATCCGGCACCCAGCCCGTCCCTTCCTTCCAACCGTTCTCTTGCGTAGCACTCAGCTTTCGCAGCTCAGGCCGGATGGATTCGACGCTCTGGCTGAGCTTCTCAGCCCAACTGGGCCCAAGGGTATCGGCCTTGGTGAGAACAATGAGGGTCTTGCAGTTTGCCTCAGCCAATGCCTTCAGCACATTCCGGTCGGTATCGTGTGCTTGCCCTGCCCTATTGTAGAGCAAAACGGCGCCGCGAAGAGACTTGCGCTTGTTCAGATACTTGATGATCGTCTCTCCCCAGTCCGTGTGGCTCCTGAATCCATAGCCGGGGGTGTCCAGAAGCCGCAAGCCATGCCTCGGAGGTCGCATGCCTTTCTCCAGAAGGTCCTTGTTGATGAATTCAGGTGATCCTATTCCAAAGACGTTCATTGTCGATGTATGGCCTGCCTTTTTGCTCACCTTGGCAGCGTCCGAACGCCCGAGGAGGGCATTGATGAAGGTCGATTTCCCAACATTTGAACGTCCAAGGATCACAATCTCCGGGATGATTAGATTGATAGGGTGATTCTTAAGCTCGCTTGCCGAGTAGAGGAACGCATAGCGCTGGTGGAAAAATTTGTCTGCAGCGTTCAACGAAGGCCTATCCTCCTTGGTGACCGGGGCTGGAGTCTTAGAATTCGGTTTAAAACAGATAGAAGATAGACGGTGCACGCTTTTATCTTCTAAGGGTTTTGGCTTTGGGGATAAGGTGCTGTAGGGGCTGGTTCTTAATACCGGCAGTCTCCTGAGTTGCTTCGGACCAACCGAGTTGTGTAGAGATGCTGGAGATAACTGACTCCAGCAACTATTTCTCGTACTATAACCACATGTTCTCGCGTTCGTGCATAGTCTAGAGAGCCTTAACCCTCTTTGATACTTGAGAGCTCCCGACATGAGAGTAGAAATGAGAAACAAAATGTTTCGACAAATTAATTACAAGCAGACAATGCCTTTGAGGTTGAGACTGATATTTGCTGGACAGCTTATGTCAGCAGAGTGTACTCAGTAAAGGCTTGCAGAGGCTACCCTACAGCGCATCTGGAAACATCAAACCATCTCAGATTTATATGCAAAAATGGTATATATTATAGAATTTGATAGTTCAATAAGAGTCCTGGTGCAAATTAAATCTGTACATGTTTGTGCATTCATAGAAGGGCTAGTAAAAGTGACCATGCTGACTCTCAGTTGTGGCCCTACGTTGAAGTTTAACTATCCAATAACGCCTCTATAGCATGTGATGGAGAGTATTAATTTCATCTCCCTAACCATTGAAAAGTGAGAGAGCATCTTCTATTTATATTCACGAATTCTAAAGCTATTGGTTGTCAACAGTTTATTTGTCAACAGTTTATTTGAGTCATGCGACGAGAACAACAGCAAATTGTGATATTCCCGCAACAAGGCTTTAACTACATCGGCCCCGACACACTTTTCTCCGATGAGGAGTCTATTAGTTGTATTCTTGTTCGATAATAGAGAGCTTGCCTCCCCCGCAAAACCCCAGCCTTTGCCAAATGCCAACATCACCGGATAGTCGGAATCGGCGCTGTATCCGACCAACTTCAACCCCACAGCCGACCATGTGGTCCTTTGTTTAAGAAGGTGTTGCTCCCTCTGTTCTCCGCAGAAAGGATGCTGGCCCAGATTTCTTCTGGATAGTTAACCAGAAAGACTTACACGACACCATATAGCGTCTAGTTACCACAATGTCTAATCCAAGACCAATCACCTTTGACCCACGGGTCTTTGACCCATCCTCCATTACGGAAGAAGCCAAGGCCTTTGACGCCAAAGCGAAAGATGTTGAAGCAAGAATGCCCAAGATCCAAATCGTTGGTGCTAAAGAGATGCGCCGTATGCGTCTCGCCGGCGAGACAGCCAGACCTCCGCCAACTCTTGTCGAGTCGGCCACCGTCTCCAGCATTCCCTCCCGCGAACCTGGACGAAGCATCCCAACCCGCATCCTGGCACCCCAAAACGGAAAACCAATCCGCGGTGTCTACATGCACATCCACGGGGGCGGCTGGTCGCTGGCAGACGAGTCCTTTGCCGATCTATTCCTGCAGGGCCTGGCCGACGGCCACGGCCTGGTATGCGTCTCCATCGGCTACAGACTCGCCCCGGAGCACCCCTTCCCAGCCGGGCCCGAGGACTGCTACGACGCCGTGGAGTGGCTCGTCCTCAACTCGGAGGCAACCTACAAGGTTCCTCTTGCCTTTATCGGCGGAGACTCGGCCGGCGGGCACCTGTCTATGCTTACCGGGCTTCATCTCCTCCAGCACTCGGACGAGAGGTTCTCCAGCTACCCCCTCAAGGGGCTGATGCTGCACTTTGGGGCCTTCTCGCTCAATTTCATGCCATCTGGGTTCAACAT